TTGGAGTGTGTTTTGGGAGGAGGAAGTGGTTCTGAATAAGCAAGGTGTTGGGAGCCCAGCGGCTGTCCCAGTTGCAGCGACTGTAGTGGTGTGCCCTGCAGGATATCTGAATGTTTCCTGTGTGGTCTTATTCTGCCTGTATCTGAATATCGTGTTTTTTTTTTAAATAATGTAGCTCAATGGGAAAATTAGGTAAGTTAACAAAGATGTGTTTTCAATGACTTTCCTGAAAGTGAGTTTGCCTTTCCTTTTTTTTTTTTTTTATGTCCATATTGTATTTATTTGTATCCTTTCTGAGTAGTGCTGAGGGACCTTGAAGTAGATTGGACCAAAGACCTTGTATGCATATATGTATAACCCATGGGCACAGATAATAGGGTGCTAAAGGCCTGGGGTATGGGTGGGGGATTAGACAGGGGGAAAGGGGACATATGTAATACTTTCAACAATAAAGAATTATTTTAAAAAAATATTTTTAAAGAAAATAGGTTGGGCATGGCACTAAAATAATCTAGATTGTAATCACAGCACTTAATCCACAAAAAAAGCTGTTTCTTTGTAACGAAATCATAATCACTGGTCTTGGATCTTCCTTATTAGTTGGCAACTTTTATTTTTAACTTATTTTTAGTACATTTTTATCCTCAGAATGACAAATATCTTGATAGCTTGTATTTTCTAAACTTAAGTTTCTCATTCAGAGCCACTATTCAATTTTTTCTGTTTAATTTTGTCCCACACACTAAGGTAGTTGAATTTGCTTGTCAGTTCTTTTCCAACATGAAACACAGTGTTGTTAACACTTCCCGAACTTTACTGTGTCTGGCCTTGTTCATTCTAGACCCCACACTGTTCCAGGTGCCAGGTGTGGCATGTTTCCCAAAAGGGACAGGTTTGCTTTAAGAGCTGGGGGAGGGCATATTTTTTAACATATTAAAATTTTATTTAAGGAGCATTGCACAAAATTTCCCTTTTTTCTTTAATCTTCACCTGAGGATATTTATCCATTGATTTTTAGAGACAGTGGAAGAGAGAGGGAAAGACAGAAATATCGATGTGAGAGAAATACATCTATTGGTTGCTTCCTGCACAAGCCCCGACCAGGGCCTGGGCCAGGGAAGAGCCTGCAACTGAGGTACGTGCCCTTGGCCGGAATCAAACCTGGGACCCTTCGGTTCACAGGGCAGTGCTCTATCCACTGAACCAAATCAGCTAGCGCAAAATTTCCATTTTTCAAGTAAAGATGAAACCTCCCTCTTGTAGCATCTGCTTCAAGTTGCTGTACCTTCAGGGTTATATATCTTCTCCCTCTCTTCTTGGGTTTACTAATTTCAGAAGAAAATAAGAAGAAAAACAAAACCCCTTTGGGATTTAGACACTGAGAGGTCTACTCTCTGACTTGCTCCTAAATACTTTTCCCTAGTATACGTCATTCAAATTTCTGTCTTGGCAAAATGACAAATTAACCATACACTAGAGGCCTCTTCTAAGTCAGAACCGCATATATTAAATCTGATGTCAAGCTTTGAAACTGCATAGTAACTGTTATCACCAAGGAAGAAAAGTTCAGAGGCCCACTGTACTTCCAACAGATTTAAAATACTGATCTAGGAAAAAATTTAGCATTTGTTAAAATTTTTTTGTGTGTGGTAGGACTGAAAATCCCCCTTTCTTTATTGCCTAACTGTTCACTCTTTCATCTTCAAGGGATTTTGCCTACCCAAAGAATTTATGGAAGATTCAGCAGGCGAGGGAGCAACTGAGTTTCATGACTATGAGGGAGGTGGAATTGGAGAAGGTGAAGGCATGAAGGATGTGAGTGACAAGATAGAAAATGAAGAACAGGTACGTTTAACATGCCTGAAACATGTACAGAGTTTACAGAAGACCGTTCCCCTTCCCCTTTCTTTTCAATAGTTAAATTACTGACATAAATGTCAATGGTTTTCAAACTGAGACCTGTGGACCTCTAAGAATACTCAGGTATGGTGAGTGGGTGTAAATAAAAAGCATAAAGGTCACAGAAAGGAACTTTGCAACTCAGTCACTGCTTATGGCTATAATTTGAGAAAGAGGTGATTTAAAAATGTTAAATGGGGAGATCATTGCTATTAATTTTCTAAAGTATTTTTGGTAGTAGTCCATTTAAGAATAAAAAGGTTGGCTTTTGGCTTTTCTTTATTTCTCAAATTTAACTTAACATATAGTATTTCCTAATAGGAAAAATTTAGAGTAAAAAGAGTAAGCCTAATAGGAAAAGTACAACCCAATGCAAAAAACAAAAAAAACAAAAAAACCATGAAGGGGGGCGGAAAAACACCCAGAACAATTTGGCAGTATATAATAAATTTTAAATTGTGTTATCTTCTTTGACTTAGGAATTCCACTTTTTATAGAAATGCCAATAAGGATCAAAGATAATATGCAGAGCAATACTGTAAAATCATTAAACAGAATGAGCTAGATTTATACGTATTAACATGGAAATATATCTAAAAGACATTTTTTTTAAGTTAAAAAAAACAAATCTCCAGTTTGTCAATTATGATTCCCTTTTTATTTAAAAAGATGTCAGGAGGCAGGTATTAATACATAACACTTATATTAATATTTATGATGTATTCATGAACAAAAAGATGCACCAGAATGTTATTGATGGTAATTTCTTTGGAAGTTTTGGAACATGGTGGTCCCATGGGAAACTTAATTCTTTCTGTTGTGCTTAGAATTCTTTTAATAAGGTTTTATTACTTTTGTATTTTAAAAAGGGACTTTAAAAATTCATTTATAATGGAAGAGATAACAATCATGAATCTTTCACCCCAAATACCACATAGAGTATATAGGAATATATAGTTTAAGGAGAAGTGAACAAAGTTGCATTCACAGTGTGTTACTGTCTGTGAGAGATAAAAGTGACACAATATTAAAGACTAGAGGCCCAGTGCATGAAATTCGTGCACAGGTAGGGTCCATAGGCCTGACTGGTGATCAGGGCTGATCAGGGCCTTCTGGCTGCTGGCCAGGGCCTTCCTTCCCAAGCTGCCGGTTACCGGCCAGGGTCTCCCTTCCCTGGCTCCTAGCTGGGGCCTCCCTTCGTTGCCCCCTGGTGGTCAGTGCACGTCATAGCGAGCGATAGAACTCCCAGTCTCCTGGTCGAACTCCTGTGGGGACACTTTGCATATTAGCCTTTTATGTGTATATGGGCAATAAGATTGATGAATTTTTTTATCCTACAGAGAATACATATTCTTTAAAAATATGTCTGGATTCTTTTAAAAAAACACAATTCACTTAAAACCACAACAAAATTTATTCTGTAATCACAAATGCAATAAAACTGGAAACTAACTATAGAAATGTTACAGCAAATGAGAAATTATTGTGTGGTTATCTGTGTTCTTCTTTTTCTCTTCCCAGAGATAACTTTATGCCATTAACCTTAGCTAGCATTTATATACATACTTATGTTCTAGTTAAAACTGAATAAACATTAGTTAAGTTACATTTGTGTTCTTTATGCTTTTTGATATAGGCAGAAGATACATTTCAGAAGGGTCAAGAAAAGGATAAAGAGGATCATGACTCAAAGTCAGACATTAAGGGCGAGGATAATGCCATTGAGATGTCAGAAGACTTTGATGGGAAGATGCATGATGGGGAGCTTGAAGAACAAGGTTTGAGACTATCTGTCACTGCATTCTTGCTTTTGAAAAATAATTATTTTAATCAGAAAATTATGTATTTCCAATAAGGAGCCTGTTGTCCTATTAGAATCTTTTGGGCCAAGTTGGTTATTCTGCATAACTGCAAATGAGGACATTAGCACTTATGCACATGCCATCACCATCTGCACCCAGGTGGAGGTCCATAGTCAGTCTTGGAGATTCTTCGCTGAGGAACCTGAGACATTGGCTGATGCTCCTGCTGCCTCATTGCTAAATGCAGTGAGTGGGTACTGCCCTTCAGGGAAGTCCAAAAAAGGAAGGAGGCGATCTTAATGGGGCCCTTAGCTCAAAAGTAAATTGTTCAGGGTAGTTTTTAAAACTAACTTTTTCCACCATAAACACAAAAATAGTAGATAATTCTTGTAGACAATTTGGAACAAAAATGCAGGAATGAAATAGATACATACCCCTTAGGCTGACCACCCAAACCACTTAATAAATTTTAGTTTATTTATTTCCATTTATTGTATGCACACACACGCACTAGTGACTCTGCACAGGTTCATGCACATGAAAGGAAATTAATTAGAAGGTGGCCAGCGGGACAGGACTAGGCGAGACAGGCCGGACATGACCCGGAGCCAACCTCCCTCGGTCCCTCCCCGGCGTCTGTGGAGTAAGTGGGGTCCCTTTGGCAGGTGGGGGTCCCTTGGCCTGGCCTGCAGGGATCGGGCCTAAACTGGCTCTCCAACATCCCCCGAGGGGTCCCGGAGTGCAAGAGGACACTCTGCTAATTTGCTGTCATACAGGGTGTGGAACGCAAACGCAAGTGTAAACCAGATTCAAAGCTGACAGTGCCCCAGAAACAACATAACCCACAGCTGAAGGCCCCACTAGAAATTGGGCTCCCTCCTCTCTGGTTTTGGGGTGCGTCACCCAAGAACTGCTGCCAAGTCACTGCAGCTCGGCAGCTCCTGCATTGAGTGTCTGCCCCCTGGTAGTCAGTGTGCGGCATACCCACCAGTTGAGGGGCAGAGGGACACTTAGCATATTAGCCGTGTGTGTGTGTGTGTGTGTGTGTGTGTGTGTGTGTGTTTTCACAGGACATAAAACAGTTTAACATGTTATGAACATTCCCCTTGTCATTAAAAATTACTTGAGAATATAATTTGTTATAGCACATCATCATCTGTTATATGTTTGTTTCATAGTCCAACTATTGCCCTAAGTTTCTGTCCAAAGCTTAATTGAGATATAGTGTCTTTTTCTAAGCAAAGATCTTGCAGAAATGCAAGGTGATCTCAGAGTAGAAGTGTGTACACTGTCTAAGCAGCATCTATATATATAAAAGCCTAAGTGACCGAATGACAGAGCACCGCTCAGCTGACCAACGGGTGCCAGACACAGGGCTCACGACTGGCTGGCGAGCGCAGCCACAGCAAGCCTCTCCCGATTGGGACTGACTGGGCGTGAGCCCGCAGCAGGTGCAGCGGGGCTGGGATGGGGGCTGGGATGGGGGCTGGGATGGTTTCTCTCGGCAGGTGGCTTTGGACTGCCAGTTTTGGCCCAGTCCCCGCAGGCAACACTGAAGGACCCCAACGGTGCATGAGTCTGTGCACAGGCTCTAGTAAGGTTATAACTTTGACACAGTGGACCCTAAGCAACAGTAGTCGCAAGAAAATTCTGATTATACACACGATTTTAGGTGTTGGATAAAATCATAGATGTATAATATATTGGGGATAGGGAAGGAACTTTGGAAATCTTATAGAGCAACTCTATCATTTTGCAGATAAGAAATAAAAAAAAGTGTGGTTGCTGAGTCCCCTAATGAAATCCCCCAGCACCAGAACTAAACATCCTGACAGCTGTTCTACCATCCTTCTAATGGTCTGTTAACATGACACACTCAGACTTCCTTGTTTCTTCAAACAGTTCCTAAAACACAGTAGGACTGCAGCAGATCTAACGGCTTCTGCCAGTGGAGTGCTCTGTAGACGCAGGGAGTAAGTCCCAGGCTGGGCTCTTGCCAGTAGTAGGTCCATGCCTCCCCCCCACACACAGGGCCAGGTCTGCCTCACTAAGCTCAGTGCCTTCCCTTTCAGAAGAGGAGGATGAGAAGTCAGATAGTGAGGGCGGAGACCTGGAGAAACAGATGGGCGATCTGAATGGTGAGGAAGCTGACAAACTAGATGAGAGGCTTTGGGGTGATGACGAGGAGGAGGAAGATGAGGAAGAAGAAGACAGCAAAACTGAAGAAACAGGACCAGGAATGGATGAGGTAATTCAAAAATTCCGCCATCCCATAGCCCCCAGGTTGAAGGGAGATAGTTTTCCCAGCCACCACTCCCTGTCATTTACTGCTTTTCCTTTCCTTTGTTTTGCTGCTTCTCTCTCATCTTTTCTTTTATCTCTCCTGTATATCTTACTCATTGATTCAGAGCCAAACGAGTAGTTTGACCTGAGCTGTCCCATTGGTTATGAAGGAGGGAAGTTAAGGAAACTCAGTGTATATGCTCTTATTCTGCTATTGGCCACGGAACTTCTCCAGCTCCCTGCTTAGAACTCCCACGCTTGTCCTGGCCAGTGTGGATTAGTGGTTAGAGCATCAGTCTGCACACCAAAGGATCTCCAGTTTGATTTCTGGTCAAGGTCATGTACCTGGGTTTCAGGTTTGATCCCTACCCAGGTTGGGGCACATTCAGGTGGCAACCAGTTGATGTGTTTCTCTCACATCAATGTTTCTCTCACCCCCACTTCCCTCTCTACCCCCTCTGTATCTCCCCCCCTTTCCCCCCTCCCACACATACACACTCCCTCTCTCCCTTCCACTCTCTCTAAAAAATCAATAGAAAAGATATTCTTGGGTGGGAATTAACAAATAACAACAAAAGAACTCCCAGGCTGGATGTGACACTGCCGCAGCTCAGCCCGACCCAGCCTGCTATTCTCATACCTGCTATTATTGCTGTCTGGGCAGACCCAGACTGTTCTCTCCAGGTCATGGATGATGCCCTGTCATCTGGATACTCAGAGGATAGGCCCAGCAGGCAGAAATTATACATGCTTAAGAGATACATTAGGTAGAGCCAGCCTGTGTGTCAGCAGTTTCTTAGATCAAGAGTGATGATTCTTTGTGTTTTCTGCCTGTGACATTTAGGAAGATTGTGGACTTGTTGCTAAAGATGACAACTTGGATTCTGGGAAGTCAAACAGAGATAAAAACCAGCATGATAAGAAGGAAGAAGCAGAAGCTGATGATGGACAAGGCCAAGACAAAATTAATGAACAAATAGATGAGGTAATGAGGATTCAAAACAGATCTGCTCACCTGACTCTAGGCCAGGGCAACTGCACCACACACGTGTGCGTCTCAAGGCCTTTTTCTCTATTCATCCACTGTTTTCTTACTGTTTCATAAAAGAATGTATAACAGAGCCTCTTAACAGGACATAAAATATCTAACTGTTGGTTATCAGTGAGGTAGATTTCATACTTTTTGGGCTTATGCTGTAGTCTGGGAGCTAAAACTTACGATCCTTTATTCTCATAAACATCAGTTTCTTCTTTGAGGGCAAGTAACACAGTATTTCTTACCTCTTACCAGTGGAGAAGCTGCACAGAAAGTGGAGTTTGACTTATATGCATATATGCATAAACCATGGACACAGACAATAGTGTGTTGAAGGCCTGGGGTGGGGAGTGGGTATGGGCTAGAAGGGATCAATGGGGAAAGGGGAACATCTGTAATACTTTCAACAATAAAGATTTTTAAAAAGAGAGAAAGTGAAGTTTGAAATTCCAAATGAAAATTCTAAAAATGTCAGAAAAATTGTAATGTGTATTGGTAATGTTAGGGCAAAGACATTGTATTCTCTCAGCATAAGTACTTAGCAGCAGTTTTCAACCTGTGGGTCGCGACCCCTTTGGGGGTCAAACGACCCTTTCACAGGGGTTGCCCAAGACCATCGGAAAACACATATAATTACATACTGTTTTTGTGATTAATCACTATGCTTTAATTATGTTCAATTTGTAACAATGAAATTGGGGGTCACCACAACATGAGGAACTGTATTAAAGGGTCGCAGCATTACGAAGGTTGAGAACCACTGACTTAGAGCTAATTATATGTGAATACTACTTCATAAAAAAACAAAAACAGTTTTAAGTTTTTATCATTTTGTCTGTTCTCTCCACTGTCCAAAGAGGGAATATGATGAGAGTGAGGTGGATCCTTACCATGGCAACCAGGAGACGCTGCCAGAGCCTGAGGCCTTGGACCTTCCAGAGGATTTGAATCTAGATAGTGAAGACAAGAACAGTGGTGAGGACACGGACCAGGAAGAAGGAGAAGGTGTGTCTTTAAAACCTAAAGTGACCAATGGGAATTCACTGAAAATGAACAGTAACTGATTTCTCTTCAGGTCAATGTCATGACCAAGTCATAAATCATGTTTGGTCAGCTCAATTCCATCTTGCAAAAATTGTTTGTTCTTTATAGTGTTTCTTATCTGAGTGGACCTGAAGCTTATAAACCAGCAGTTCTCTCTCCTGTCATTTCCATCCTGTATTTTTATTTTTTTAAATATATTTTTATTGATTTCAGAGAGGAAGGGAGAGGGAGAGAGAGAAACAAACATCAGTGATAAGAGAGAATCCTCTATCGGCTGTCTCCTGCACACCCCTACTGGGAATCAAGCCTGCAACCCCAGCATGTGCCCTGACCAGGAATCGAACCGTGACCTCTTGGTTCATAGATCAACACTCACCCACTGCGATTACACAGCAGGCATATGACCGTAATCTTGTGCCCTTGTCATTGTTCAACCTGGGTGACTCGCCTAGGGAGTGTTGTCCGGTATTAGTTGGGAGCACTGGGGGAGAGGTGCTGCTGCGATAGTGGCCTCTATCCTGGTGGGGAACAAATAGATGTGAGCTAGCCTCACTCTGCTTCCTGATGAATCAGTTAAAAAGTTATTAAATTTTAAAAAATACTACCATATTGGGACAGAAATAGAAAGTTACAAAAAGATAAGGTAGCATTTACCTAAAAATTTAATTCAAGAAACAGTTTCATATATGATTTAGGGATACATCAAATGTACAAAAACATGGACAGAAATAATGCACAACAGCTTCAGGTTATGACATCCAAGGAAGGAGGAAGGGCCAAGGCCTCCAGAATCCAGATAGTTGTATCCAGATCTTAAAAAGAAGTGACAGAAGTTTGACACAAATATGGTAATGTGTTAATATCTGTTAAATCTAGGTGGTGAATATATGGTTCTCATAAATGTAAAATGCATTCTCCATGTTTAAAGTATTTGAGAATTAAAAATAAAGTTGTGAACTGCAACTTTAACTAGAACCATTTGATGAAGGAATTGATACAGACTTTCCTCGTGCTCAAAACATTCTTTATGAATCTCTAGTTTTTAAACATAGTATATAAATTATTGCTTCTGAGGGTATTTCGTTAATTTAGAATTTTGAAATCTGACTTCAACTTTAAATTCAACAATCAAACAAGCATTAAACTAAGAAAGTTAAAATCCACTGAGAGTGTAATAAGGCATTTGACCTAGAAAGACACCCAGGCTCATTTTAAGCTACTGCATATATACACTAAGGAGTAGTTAAAGAATTATTTGCTTATAAAGGAACTGATTTCTGAAGTGTCCATAGTATAGAATAGCTTTTTAAATAAAACTTTTTCAAATAAGATTGTTTCTATTTGAATATTGTATTTTCTGTGTATGACAAAAAATTATGTCCACAAATTATTTCCAATGATAATTGAAAAATAGATTCTCATTTCCTATCTGTGGTCTAAAATGTTCCTATTGTAGTGGCTTTTATGATTTCTTAATGAATTACTTATTCAAAAAAACACACCATCGGATCAATTGTATGTAATATATAAGTATGGTTTAGATTGGGGGTAGGCAACATTTTTCAGTGAACGGTCAGATTAGATTGACAGGTCACAAATACTTGGTTCTGCTGTTGTAGTGTGAGAGCAGCCCTAAGCAATACAGAGTGGATGGGTAAACACATAAATGAATGGATGTGGCTGTGTCCCGGTAGAACTTGATTTACAGAAACATGTAGAGGGCCAGAGTAGGCCCACAGGCCACCGTTCACCAACTCTTGGTTCAAGTAACAAAACAAAACACTTAGGTAACCATCCCATCTTAAAAAATGTTGTTACTGGTTTTTAAAAATTCTGTCTGTCTTTTTTGTTCTGTGTACCCAGAAGAGAATCCTTTGGAAATTAAAGAAAAAGCAATGGATACTGAAGAAGCAGGTCATGAAGCTGAGGAAATAAATGAAGAGACTGGGGCCAATCAGAATGAAGATCAGGGTCAGCAGGAGCCTGAGGAAGGCTCCAGTGAAGATGACAAGGGGGAAGGGGTGGAAGAGATGGACACAGGAGCTAGTGACCAAAACAAAGATACCGACCAGCATTCTGAGGAAAGCTCAGAAGAGGAGGAGCCATCTCCAGAGGACAAGGACAACAACGCTGAAGCCAGTGAGGACAGTGCAGACAATGGTGTCTCTGTTGACCAAGGTCTCCAGCCTCAGGTATTAGGGTGGTCTGCTTTGCCTTGATTTAGAAATAATGAGAAGAAATTCTTACTCCCACTGGAACGTCCTTTAGGACAGCGGTCGCCAACCTTTCAGACCGCTGCTTTAGGATACTCCTCCATCACCAGGTGGTGCTGCTTTCATTTCTGTTTAAGACCTTCCCTGGCTGATCCCCTCCCTGCAGACCCCTCAGTGAGGAGTGAGGTGTTTGCTTGCTGCAGGGGTCCCCCACCTCATGTCCCTTCCCCAGAGCACTTAATGCTGTGTTTGATTTCCCTGCAGGAGGAAAAAGAAGAAGGGGAGGACTCTGACACAGAGGAGCAGGTGCCAGAGGCTACGGAGAGGAAGGAGCACTCCTCCTGCGGGCAGACAGGGGTGGAGAACATGCAGAGCGAGCAGGCGGTGGAGCTGGCTGGGGCCGCGCCTGAGAAAGAGCTGGGGAAGGAGGTGAGGGGCCCTGCCAGCTGCCCAAGGAGAACCGCTTCTTCCTGTCTGAAATCACAGTAGCTGGCTTCTTCCACGTGATGTTTGTTTTAGTTAACATCTGAAAGGTCATTTTTCATTCTTGAGAAAATGATTGTAGACTTATTTTATATGCTTCCCTGAACTAACCGCAGAATATTTGCCACACATTATATTTAACTGATAGGCTTAATGAGAAAGTAATAGTTCTCTGTGGGAGAATCAGGTTCACGTTATTTTTTTACTAGAAACTCGCACAAAATTTGTGCAAGAGTAGGCCTTCCTTCTCCTGGCTGCCAGCACCGGCTTCCCTCTGGCTGCTGGCAGGTACCCAGGACCTGGGCTCCCCTTGCAGCCCTGGCTTTGTCTGGAAGGACATCCAGTCTAATTAGCATATTACGCTTTGATTATTATAGACTAGAGGCCCGGTGCATGAATTCATGCACTAGTGGGGTCTCTCAGCCTGGCCCACGGGATTGGGCTGAAACCAGCTCTCCGACATCCCCTGAAGGGTCCCGGATTGCAAGAGGGCATAGGCCAGGCCAAGGGACCCCACTGGTGCATGACTGGGGCCGGGGAGGGACATGGGTGGTTGGCCAGCCTGGAGGGACTGTGGGAGGACCAGGGCGTGTCTGGCCCATCTCGCTCAATCCCGATAGGCCAGACCCCAGCAGCAAGCTAACCTACAGCTCGGAGCGTCTGCCCCCTGGTGGTCAGTGTCCATCATAGCGAGTAGTTGAGCGGCCTTAGCATATTACACTTTGAATCGCTGACCAGACAACCGGACACTTAGCATAGTAGGCTTTTATTATATAGGATATTTTATTGATTGATTTTTAGAGAGGAAGGAAGAAACATTGATTTGTTCTACACTCAACTTATGCATTCATTGGTTGATTCTTGATATGCCCTGACCTCCTAGTTCATAAGTCAATGCTCAACCATTAAGGCACACTGGCCAGGCAGCACTTTGTTTTGACCTGGGTGATGTGCTCTGTATGTGGCCACAGCTGGGGCCGCTGGCATGTTGTGAGAACCCTGGGTCAGAGGACCTACTGTTGTAGCATTGACTCTACCAGCTCCTGTAGCCTCTCTCAGCCCATTTTCTCCCCAGTAATTACCACTGTTTATATACTTACACCTTCTCCACCCCATTTATTAAGCACCCGTAAGGTGGTAAGCATTTCCATTACTTCAGCAAGTTCTTACAATAGCCCTCTAAGGTAGCTGATATTCTTATTTTCTCTTTTTACACTTGAGTTAAATAGCCCTCAAGGAAGTTAAATGACAGTCTCGAGGTTATGCAGCTGGTTGCTGATAAAGCCTGGTTTCTAATCAGGTCTGTCCTGCCTTCAGAGTGAGCCACTATACTCCTGTAAACTAAGAACTGTCAGCCTAAAGTGAGGTCACCCGGAGTGTTGGTAACAGATCCGGGTCTAGATGCTCCTGTTTCTACCCATGGCCAGGCTGTAGTCATGGGTGAGCTCCAGAGCAGGTGGGCAGGTGTGACAGTTGCACTCTGAGATGATAATAATAGAGAAGTTGTGCACAAGGCAGCACAGTAACCAGGTGCTTGGTAGCTTCCTCCATCCTCATTCTTTATGGCTTGGATTTCATAGGAACACGGGAGTGGAGCTGCGGATGCGAACCAGGCAGAAGGCCACGAATCCAATGTCATCGCCCGGTTGGCCTCCCAGAAACAGACCAGGAAGAACACACAGGTCTCTATCACTCTTCATCTAAACTAAAGTGAAGGCTGCATATAAAAAAGATGCTGTAAACATAGTGATTAAAAAAAAAAAAAAGCCACATTCTTTATCTTTGCTGTCCCTGTCCTACCAGACACGATGGCAGCCCTGGTGAGTAGGCCACGATTTTGGGGCTTTCCCAGTGGAACCTGTGCAGGGTCATGGACACATGCACACATACCACGATTCCATTCCTGTTATGGTGCCTAAGTTCCCGGTGGTGCTGCGCAGCGCCAACCAGTACTACTCTTTTCAATGTCCATAGTCTTTTGAGTTTAAAAAATGTTTTTTAATGGGGTATAAATTTATGCACATGATTCAAAATTTTTATATAAAAACCAGTTCCCTAAAAAGCTTCCATCCTATCCCTGTTCTCAAGCCACCCAAGGAAGTGGGTGCTACCAGTTTTGTCTTTAGATCTTCTCTGCATATGTGACATATGTGGACATACATATGTGCGTGTGACTTTCTTTGCTTCCTTGTCTTAATTCAGATACAAAACTGTCAGAAATTACCCCGTATGTGTATGTAAAGAACTACCCATTCTTTATACTTGTAACAGCTGTGTTGAATTCCAGTTTTGTATGGCTGTACCTAATTTACTTAACCAGTCCCCCAGGGATGGACACTGTGGTTATTTTTAGTCTTTTACTATTAGACAAGGCTCTGATGAATTTCCTCCTATTTCCCAGAGTTTTAAGAGGAAACCTGGACAGGCCAACAATGAACGCTCCCTGGGTGATCACAATGAGCACGTGCACAAGAGGCTGAGGACTGTGGATATGGACAGCCACACGGAGCAGGAGCCCACTCCGGCCCAGCCCCAGCCCCAGGCAGAGGACGCAGCTGCATTTGAGCACATCAAACAAGGGAGCGACCCTTACGATGCGCAGACCTATGGTAGGTGCAGGGAAGGCTTCTTTGCTCACCGAGTTCTCTGAGAATTTATGCTGTATGACTGTGTGCCACCAGCTGTTACTAGAAATTCATCTTTAGGAGGGAGAGGAATGGCTTTTAAAAACTCTTTCCTAATAACTGCAGAAATATGAATTGTTTTTTGTTTAAAGGTATCTGTAGCCAAAATGCTCAGTGTTTCTGGGTCTAGTGTAAGTTTTTAGAATACCCTGATAACTATTGGCTGCATCCAAAACCAGCACTGATCTCAGGCTTTCTGAATTCTGGAGATTTCTTCATAATCACCTTGAGGTTGCTCCCTGCAATGGCAGAAGCCGTAAACTTGAAATATGTGTTTTTTTCTGTACATGAAAAGGGAGTAGTCTCTCAAGTTCTTGGTGACTTTTCACCGTTTTATTCGTAATATGTGAAATACTATTGATATCTACCAATGAGGATAGTTCAGAAGCAATTCCTCTGCAATAGATGACTTTTCTCCTCTTCTGTCCCTACTCCTTAGGAAAATAAAATATGATGATCACAGCTATCATGTATTGAGCTTTTACTCTATGCCAGATACTATTCTGAGCCTTTGCCGCAAGGTCATGGAATTCCTCTAATCTCATGAGTGAGGATATCTCCGCTTTATAGATGAGCACACTGAGGCCAAAGAAGTTTAAGAACTTGTCCAACATCTGGATGCAGGGATTCCCATGTTAGCGTTTCTATGCCAAGTGTTACCATAACTTAGTAATGGAGGATGATGCCATTAGCTGCTCTGAATCATGTGCCATGTGCCCAGCTTGTTTATTCTGGTTCAGACTCTTGTCATAGCACTAGAAACCCAGCTAAACATCCTACTTCTGTGGTCACATGTGTAGTTATAGGATATGCTTGAGGGGGTGGGAGGGGAAGAATAGGCAGTTACGCAGTTAGGTTAGTAGGACATCTTGGGCACAAACAAGCCCAGCACTGTGTCTAAGGCACATAGCCGATTAGTGGCAGAACCAGCATTAATAACAGAAACCACACCCACTCATGATTACTTTGTCCTGCAAAGACCGAGGCTTTCTATGTGTGTGTGCGCTTTGTTAACAGATGTAGCCAGCATGGAGCAGCAACAGTCTGCAAAAGACTCCAGCAAGGAGCAGGAGGAGGAGGAAAGAGGGGACATCTTTATGGACGTGGAGGAGCAGGAGGAGCTCCAAGCGGTAGACACCGAGCAGCTGAAGCCAGAGGAGGTCAAGTCGGGGACCACAGCAGGCTCCGGTGAGTCTTACAGAAAACAGACCCCTCCTAAGCGCTCTGATTTAGAGAAGTTGCTTCTCTTGTACTGTATTCTAGTCTGGACTTTTACTTCCATGTCCTAAACCCCAGCTTAGACATTCATTGGCCTATAATAATGTCACTGTATCGTGTTTCAGAGTGGAAAGGTGGAAGAGTGGTGTTGCAACACACTCTTGCAAGGAGACCACTGAAACTTGCCTTTCACACAAAATCCCATCTGCCTTTTTAAAACTTGCAGAACAGAATAGAGCACTTATCCAATTGTGACAAGAAGGTATATTCTTGACTATTAGAGAAATGTTTTCTATTATATGGCAATATATAATAAAAATGCTATAAATATAGAATAGGGACAATACATGTGAGAAAGTAACAAACCTCTTTACATACAGTTCAGTTTCATAGTTGACCAATGGCTATTACAAGGACTTTATCTTTTAAAATATATTCAACACAGTAAAAAATAACTATCAGCCCTAGCCAGTTTGGCTCAGTGGATAAAGCCTGCGGACTGAAGGGTCCCAGGTTTGATTCCAGTCAAGGGCACATGCCCAGGTTGCGGGCTCGATCCCGTGTGGGGTGTGCAGGAGGCAGCTGATCAATGATTCTCTCCCATCATTGATGTTTCTATTTCTCTCTCCCCTCCTCTCTGAACTAAATATATTTAACCCTTTGAGTGCCAACCAATATCCTAGGAACTATGCTAAAATTGCCAAGGCATTTTTGCTGATTTTACAGCAGTTTAGGAAAAAAATTATGAAACGCAAGTAAATGAAATTCCATATTCAAAAACTTAAGGAAACCTTTACTACGTTGACATATTTAGCAATATCATCATCACTAATAAAAGCAGACTTAGAACTGGACCTCATTTCGAAGCTTTGATAGTGCTTCTGGCACTTTTGGCAAAAGACAGGAGGAGTGTGATCGTGCTCCCCGGCACTCTAGGGGTTAAAAAAATATACCAAGCCCTTGCTGGCTTGGCTCAGTGGATAGAGCGCCGGCCTGCGGCCTGAAGGGTCCCAGGTTCGATTCTGGTCAAGGGCACATAAGAACTTACCAAATTAAAAAACTTTTTCTTCCTCCTTCCTGTCCTCTCAGGGGTGTTGGTACTATTGATTGACCGACCATTATGTGACAGTGGGTAGGCATAGCTCTGTGATCAGACTCGCACAGATTCAAATCCAGACTTTGCCTCTTACTTCACCAGTCGAGGCAAATTATTATTTTTTTGGCCTCCATTTCTTCATCTCTAAAATGCAACTATGATTTTATTTTAGTTTTTGTTTTTATCAAAGCTCTACATGCACACAATTTAAAGAATCAGTTTTTCAGGGCTTGTCAGTGTGAACTATCATCTCCCCTATTTCCACCTCCCCAGAACAGCCACCTTCAATATCAGGGTGAGGAGAAGTTAGGGGAATAAGAGTTGGTAACAACTGTTACCGAGTGAAAGAACATGTGGAACCAATATGTGGCAATGTGCTGGGGAGTGAATGAGTGAAGTCTGAGTAATTGTTAGGGTTGAAAGACAGCCATGAAGGCTCAGTTTTTATGTTAATACTAGAGGCCCAATGCACGAAGATTCATGCAAGAATGGGCCTTCCTTCCCCTGGTTGCCGGCACCACCTTCACTCTGGCCGGAGCCACCTTCCCACACTGCCAGCTGCCCAGAGCAGCTGGGGTGGTGTGGAATATCTGTGTCGTTGCCATGGCGACAACGCAAGCATCCTGCCCCCGGCCGCTCGGTGCCTGCAAATTAACCCGCCATCTTTGTTGGATAATTTGCATACTCACTCCTGATTGGCTGGTGGGTGTCATGAAGGTATGGTCAATTTGCATCTTTCTCTTTCATTAGTGTAGATGTATGGTAAGTAAAACTATGTCGTCTTATGAAAATAGGCATTGATGAGATGGAGACCAAAACTGTTAAAACAGAGGAAGACCAAGACCCCAGGACAGACAGATCCCACAAGGAGACAGAGAATCAGAAACCTGAGAGAAGCCGAGATTCGACCATTCATACGGCCCATCAGTTCCTGGTGGACACGATTTTCCAGGTACTAAAACTTTCACAAGTAGAGGTAGGGTGTTTAGAGTGGGGGGGGAAAGTCTTTCAGAAGTCACTACTTTACTGTTGACAAAATGTAATTATAAATTCCTTTTCAATCATTGTCTTTAGAACTTTATGGAATACCTGTTTGTTTTGGGGTATCATATCCTTACCAAATTTCTTAGGATCTCTGTTGGTATGACAGGCGCTCTCTAAAGCAGATAAAACACTGTTCTAATGGTTAGTCCCAGGGTCACAGCAGGTGGTCTGTGCCCTGACCTGGGGTGATGGTGGATCTGGTCCTTGGGCCTCCAGCTCTTCTCATGTCCACCATCCTGTGTAAGGAGCCTGCAGGAGGGTTAACAGTTTGTGTTCATTAAGTAACAGGAATCTTTGACTTAATGCCTGCATTTAGGAAGAACAGAGTAACCAAGTTGCTTTCCCTAATTGTTTTACTTAATGGAAGTCTAGATTAATCAAATAATAATTTCATCATTGAGATTTAGGCATTTGGTTTTGTTCTGCTGGGATCAATTTATAAAAGTTGACATTTCCTTTATCCATCTTGCCTCAACAAATGGGAAGCAGAGGATTGTTGTCTGGCATCTCCTTACTGTGCCATTAAATTTGCTTGTGTGTTATGTCTCGGGGGTATGCACTTGGATTCATACTGCAGGGAACAAGGCAGCCTGAGTTTGTGATTCCAACCTGGGCTGCCTCTCATTTGTGTTTTTTCTTCTTCTTAGCCCTTTTTAAAAGATGTTGATGAGCTAAGACAGGAGCTGGAGAGACAGCTGGAAAGGTGGCAGCCACATGAACCTGGAAACCCAGAAGAAGTAAGTCACTGGCCTTTTCATACAGTATCTTGACTTTTGTTAAGATACAGAAACTTAATAGGTCCTTAGCTCCAGAACCTTTGTAAAAGGGACCAAGTACATGGAGTATAATTATAATCCTAAAGCCCAAGTCCATTGTCTGCTTTGCCACTAGACCTGTAGTTTAATTAAAACAGAAATGATGTGATTGATTTTTTTAACTTCTGTTGCTTACTCTGTAATGGATGCCACAGTGGTTGAAAATGGGGCAAAAGGATACTATACATTCTCAGAATAGGCCACCTGGGGCATTAGCAGGTGGTGTAATACTGAAGTGTAGATCACCCACAAGTTCCATTTTTAATTTTTTTGCATTCTGAATTTACTGTATATATATACATATTTTATTTGATTTTCTGTCTCATCATCATCCCCACCACATATGTTGGCAAAAAATCACAGCTGTTTCCAGGAAATATGCACACTGTTTAATGTGTTGAGATTTGCACTTGTCACTTTTGCTTTTAAAACATGACCCCGAGAGCCCACGATTAAGGAGCTGGACCTGTTGGTACCAAAATTACCCATTCACAGCTCCCTCTCCACATGAAGGGTACAGGTTTACTCTGTAGGTGATGTGAAGAAGGCATTGATGTGGTCATGTGTTTCAATATTTTACAGTTTGAACTGTTATTGTGGAAAGAGATATTTTTAATCAAGTGAATTAGATAGCAGCTAAGAAAAACTTTAGCTTCTCAGTGTCAAACCTTCACCTTGTTGTAATGATTGGTCAGCTCTGACATTTTCGAGATAACTTACATGTTCTTGCTGTTGTCACAGGAAAAGGCTGCAGCTGAGATGTGGCAGAGCTACCTGATCTTAACTGCACCTCTCTCACAACAGCTGTGTGAACAGCTTCGCCTCATATTGGAGCCCACCCAGGCAGCCAAGCTGAAGTAAGTCTCCATCGCGTATACTTGAAGAGCCCTGAAATGATGGCAGTACCACCTTTTCCATTGAGCTCAGCACTTAACCACTTATTGGGCTGGCTTCTGAGTTGCCATTTCTGCTGCACAGGCACCAGGATGGCATTCCTTAGTCTGTTGTCTACCAAAGAATTGGTGAAGTTTGGCACGAATGCAGTTTCTTTGATTCATGAATAACTGATGGGAAATTGCTGAGCCTTTGTGTGTGCTGCTACATGTTGTGTTACTCGCCTGTTACTCACCTAGATCTTTTCAAAGATGGGTCCAAGATTATAGCTGTAGAACAGAAACGAGAATCCAAGATTTAATATTAAATGCAAACATTTTTTTAATTTTAAAAAATGTCCCTTAATTTTTTTGGACCTAATTATTATTGAGCCACATACATAGCCAGTTTTTCTGGTGGCTAATCAAGGAGATCCTGGCCCTTAAACCTCAATTGCAGTAACACTTCGTTGTGCCAGGTTACTGGTTATTTTGTATAACTGGGGATAGGGTACTTTTAAAGTTTTCAAGGGATGAGCAGTTTTTAATCTTTGTCCCATTTGGATAAATTTAATAGAGGAGACTATCGAACTGGGAAGCGATTGAACATGCGGAAGGTCATCCCATACATTGCTAGCCAATTCCGAAAAGACAAGATTTGGCTCCGAAGGACCAAGCCCAGTAAACGCCAGTATCAGATTTGTTTGGCTATCGATGACTCTTCTAGCATGGTAGACAACCATACCAAACAGGTAAGAAGGAGAAGTTACCTAAATCAAACTCTGTACCATGGGACATCAAATGCTTTAAATATGACCTGAAGGAAACACCAATTAGTCTTTCTTTCCTGAGAATGCAAATACCATGTTTGAGAAGACCTAAAACTTAAAAAGGGCAATTTCAAGATGTCTTAAATATTTTGGTGCCTTCCTGTTATGTTTTTAAAATTGTTTTATAGCCTTACTGTGCTATTGTCTAGCTGCAGAATAAGTAAATCTGACAATGTGTATTTTCCACAAAATGCAGTGTACTGCTATTCTTTAAGCTATGCACAACATATCTTTTAAAAAAAAGTATTCATCGCACATTTCTATTAAGTCTGAAATTATCTAGAGTTAGAGTTCTATCAGTATTAACAAGGTTCAGGAGCCTGAATAGAATTACTTACGATACTGTAAGTAATATGCACACTGAAGAGTGTTGTTTTTTGCTGTTACACAGCACGAGTCAATGAGCAACCTAAAGTCTACACATAGGATCCGCTGGAAAAAGTTTAACCTCTGAACCTGAGTTCAGCTCCCCACCACCACGTGACTCTCTACTACTGTGTGACTTTGGGCAGTTCATCAGAGTTGTTAGGAAAACTAAATTAAATAATGGATGTAGAAAACTTGGTTAATGTTAATGTCTAGCACTTGATAGGTATTTAGTAGATGTTAGTTGTCATAAGTGTCATCGTAATCAACATCTTTATATATGAATTTAAAATTTAAAACTATGCAGTCATATTCATAATTAGGATAAATTGGTTTTTTAAAAAATTACTTTTTATGTCATCAAAAAAGTAAGTTTTTAAAATTTATGGACCAAATATCTCAAGATCACTTTTGTGGAATGATGTCTAGAGCAGACCTTTCCTACCAGTGTAATGGATTATGGGTTTCAGCATTTGTGGTATTAGCCAGGGCCCAAGGACACCAAGCCTCTGGGTTGGTTGTGAATAGCCATATTACCGGTGTTCCCCTGCGGGCTATACAAATAAATGTCTTCTGTAAAAATCTTGGTATAAAAAAGGTTGATATTCTGATTCCTTCAAACGCTTAACTCGATTTCACAGCTTGCCTTTGAATCTTTGGCTGTGATTGGAAATGCTCTAACTCTGCTGGAAGTGGGTCAGATTGCGGTGTGCAGGTAAGAGTGCCTTTTAATCACACTGGGAAAACTGGTCTTCTATGGTTATTTTGTTCACATGACAAAAAATAATCTTCATTATATTCGGCTTTCCCCCGAAGTTTTGGAGAGTCCGTAAAGCTGTTACACCCATTCCACGAACAGTTCAGTGATTACTCGGGGTCCCAGATTCTACGGCTCTGCAAATTCCAACAGAAGAAAACCAAGATTGCTCAGGTATGCTATGACATCAGAGGTCTTCTGCACAGATACTCCTCTCGTTTAGTGGAGGTTTTAGAACACCTTCCTCCCCATGTGGTATAAGGACAGGCAGAATTTACAGTAGAGAACAGGGTAAACCCCAGCCTGGGTCCTGCTGGGATAGAAACTTCCTGTGCCCATTACTGACACAGTGTAACCTCAGTTTCTCAAAGGTCATTTTTGACTTTGTATCTGGCTTCTTATTTTTCTGAGAGGTTTGGAACATTTTTGAAAAATAAACCATCTCCCAGTACCCTTATCAAGGTCAAGGCCAGTCCGTCCATCGTGTCTCCCCTCCCCCCCAGTTAGCTTAGAGAAGAAATGATGTAAAATAAAGCCACATGACTTGACAAGTTCTCAAACAGCATGGGGCAGTAATTCTGATGTGGACATTTTGTGTTTTCTTGACTGTTTTTTTTTTTAAAGACAGCTGTTTTGTTCATTTGGGGAGTTAATTCACTTCTTATCCCCCAGTAAAGGTATTTCTTTTCCTTTGGGGTGTCATGTAGAACACTAGTGGGGTGTATGCCACATCTCAAGGGTGAATACCAAGCAGTGGTCCTTGACTACAGGTGGCTGAAGGGATAGTCTGGTTGCCTATAGATCTGAGATGGTTATAACTTTAAGCTCTCTGAGAATGGGAAGAGAGTTCAGTTTCCTAATTGTTTCTGGTTTAGTTTCTAGAGTCGGTAGCCAGTATGTTTGCAGCCGCTCAGCAGCTCTCACAGAACGTCAGTCCAGGTGAGCTGCATTCTCTTACCTTTGTTGACAAAATGGTTTTCTGTTGTCTGTATTTGCAAGTTGCCTGCTTCATTTCACTGCACCCGTCACCATCTTTTAATGTGGATGCTCTATAGGGAAAGCAAGAACCAGGAGAGGTATTAACCATTCTGGAATTTTTTACTCCTTTATTTAGAAATTTTTATTAAACCCATACCCAGGAGGCTTATAATAAATGAAGGAATTAGACACTAATTAACTAGTATATACTTATTTGATAGATTGGGTTGAAAGTTATGAAAGGAGCAAGTTATACAATATTACAGAATATTTGTACTTAACAAGAAAGCAGAGGAGGACATTATTCAGAAACCAGCTAATCCAGCCATGATTGATTTGGGCCTTGAAACACACCAGTTCTCTCTCTAGTTCTTTACAGAAATCTCTCAGTTATGATTGTATCATGGAGAACTTCCTGTTGGAAGCAAGTCTTTTTCATACATCTCAAGACTTGGTGGGCTGTCTTTCTCTGTCAAAGACATTTACCCTCAGACAATACAATTTTTAGCTGATAACATTATACACTAAATATTTTTAAACATTTTAATTCACCATTTATTTTTTAATGTCCTCCTCTGAGTTTTTAAAATCAATTTTAAGGGGAAAAATACAGAAATCAGTAAAAATTTCAGACAGGTCCAGGTTTTTGACAGATACTTTCTTCTAATGGCCTCCTCAGTACCACATTTTTGTATTTTAATTCTCCAGTGAAGTTGATTTAAATGTGACATTCCCTGAACACTACTGGGAAACTGTTTTATTGCCACAAGCTTTGTATGTATGCCGTCCCTGATGCAGGCATCTGAAGTAACATCTAATTAGAGATCCCTTTTACTTGTGCCCAGAATTCACCAGTTCCAGAGCTGTTTGATGTCAGTATTACAGAGAAAGCCTACACTAATTTGTCTTTCTTTAGGTAGTTTTGAGTTATTGTTAAAGATGGATTTCCATTGTGTTCTACAGACGCTGCACAGCTCCTCCTGGTGGTCTCTGATGGGCGCGGCCTCTTCCTCGAGGGCAAAGACAGAGTCCTGACGGCAGTCCAGGCTGCCCGGAATGCGAACATCTTCGTCATTTTTGTTGTGTTGGATAATCCCAGTTCCCGGGTGAGCGACTACGAAAAGCCACTTTTCTGGGGATAACGTGGAGGTGTTCTTCAGCCTGTTCCATCTGAAATATGGCCTGGGTCACACCATCATACTCAGAATTCCTAACACAGTGTTCCGTCAGGCCCTGCTCTAGGCACTTTATAACTTTTCTCATTTAACTTTGCAATAATCCAGTGAGATGGGGATTATTCCCACTTTAGTGAAGGACAGAATCACTGATTGTAGGTGATGAGTAGGAAAGCCAGGATCCTGGCTGACTCCAGAGAGCACCCCTTTAATACTTCCTATGCCAGCTTTTGACAGTGGGTCCTTTCCAGTTACTCGTACCTCGGCAGTGCCCTCCTCTGAACGGGAAGATCAGTCGCCAAGTGAAAGATGTCCATTCACAGGGCAGTTCTGTTCCAGGTTAAGGCCTAGACAGCAAGTTAAAGGTCTAATGTGAATAATCCAAGTTGAGAATGGGACACACCGTCACAGAGAAATTGGGTTTTCTTATCCCCCTTTCAGTGCCTGTTCTGGAAGGGGTGTTCAGAAAGACCTTCCTCCTCAATGAGTTCTGAAAATTTTGTTTTACTCAGTAATGAAAGCTACTCTCAGAGGCAGGAATTACACACAGGAGACCTACAACATGTTGGAGAGAGAGCGCCTGGAAGAGCTAGCCAAGGACACTGATTTATTTCAAAATGTCTTCTGTTGGCAGGATTCTATCTTGGACATTAAAGTGCCAATATTTAAAGGACCCGGAGAGCTGCCTGAAATTCGATCCTACATGGAGGAGTTCCCATTCCCCTTCTACATAATTCTTCGCGACGTAAACGCACTCCCCGAGACACTCAGCGATGCCCTCAGGCAGTGGTTTGAGTTAGTGACAGCCTCTGACCACCTGTAGACCAGCAAGAACTTAGTCCAAAGTTGAGACTTGAAACGACGGTCAAGAGCTACTTCTTGCCCAGGTGCTCCTTTCTGGACACTTCTGAATTTGCAGCTCTAAGTTATATTTTATCTTAGGTCTGATTTATAAAAATTCACTCAGCTACAAAAAAACGCATTGCAGTGTACATTTTGACATGATTTCAGAGGAAACTTGGGTTCCTTGGCCTAGGCTACTGTTATTAAAACAGACGTGGGGCAGCGAAGGAGCAGCAGGCGTCTGGTCTCGTACCTGAGAGATTGCCCTGCCAGCCTGTCTTGGAAGCCCTGGCCTGAGAGGAGGCCAGCCCCTCCGTGGGCCCAGCTGTCTGCTTTCCCTCGAAGGGACCCTGGACACCTGCCTTGAGGTGCTGCCAGGAGCCCGGGGCTGTGCCAGTCCTTTGGCTACAGGCCTGACGGGAGCTGTGCTTTTGACCCCACTCTAAGGTTTGGCTTTGCCAAGCCCACAGTGTGGACCCAAAAGCTGTCAAGTGGCTGGGACAGCTGCAGTCCTCAGAGGCTGAGTGTGTTTTCTTACTGTGCTTCCCATGAAAAGAACCACCTTCTCTTTGGGGAAGAGGCTGGTTGTATGTGTGCTCATAAGCCCCAGCCATCCAGGGCTCCAGGAAGCAGAGCTGATCCCTGGGCTGTATAAACATGAAGTGGCTTTTCAGTGTCCTTCACATTTGCTGCTTCGGGAGACTATGCAATGATGGGAAGATGATTATCCCCTTGTGTATTTCATTCTCTCAGTGCCATAGTCCCTGCTGTTGTAGTAATTTATTTCTTTAGTTCCTTTTTTTCTTATCAGTTAAGGGGAAGAATCATTCCTCACACTGCTTTCAAGCTGGACTGAGCCAGTTTTATTCTGGAAAAGATATGCTGTATCCAGAAGAACTAAGAAGCTACATCTATTTTTTTTCCCCAGTCAAAATACATCAACGGTTTTTAGGCAGTTTTTACTTGGCCAGAAAGCAGTGCTTGAATACTTGAAACTGTTTGACTTAAGTTCTGACCGTCAGAATGTTGTTTTGTAGACAACATGCCATGATGTAATTGTCTGTGTCCATGTCTGTTATCAAGTTACACTGTGAAGTTTGCCACTCTTTTTGAGGTGGTGAACAAAACACAGATTGTTTGTTTAACCAAGAGTCCAAAGCATGTACCTGATGTTATATCATTTATTTTTTATTCTAAAAAGCTATGAGCTTATATTCTGAAAACTATTAAAAAATATACCAGTGGTGATATAATTTGTGTCCATTCTTAATGGAATACAACAGAGAAGTACAAAGGGAATGGTCTTATCTGCTGGACCAGTCAGCTGTCACTACCTAGACTGACATGACCCCACAACATTAGTGTCTTTTAGTACAGTAGGGTTTATTTCTTACTTGTTTCTATGTCCACGGAGGGTGAGTTGCGGACCTCGTGGCAATGGAGAAATGGCGATTTGGTGGAAACAATGGCTCATAAAAATTCTGTTCCAAAAGGACACATCTCTTCCACTCAGATTTCATGTCCAAAGCCATTTATGGGGTAGGAAGTTTACTCTTCCAGCAGGATTGGATCTGGTAGGGAAAAAACGACATTATGACAGTGATGCGGCAGTTTATCATCTGTACCTTTAATTGATAGGACCATCCAAACTGGAGCTTCCCAGCTGGTTTGCTAAGATAGTGAGTTCCTTAGCCCTGGAGCAGCTCATTGGGTCTGGGACAGTAAGAATTCCAGTTAGCAGCTACCCAAAAGTGCCCTTTTCAGCTTGTCCTGTGATGGGGAAAGGGTTAGGAAGCATGGGAGCAGTCACGGGAGACCTATCAGGGACCGGGGTGGGGGTCAGGCAGACCCTTGCCCAGCGTACAAAGCACACGTCATTAGAAGGTTCCGAGGACACGCTTCCTCTCACACTCACCTGCTACTCGGTCTTTACTTACTTCTCTTTACTTACTTCTGCCTTGCTTACTTCTCTTTTTTCATCCAAACCCCAGTCTTCTCTGCTCTGACTTCTGGGTGTTTATCTTATCCTATCTCCTCTGATGACACTGTAGTGGGAATTCTTTTAAATCTGTAGCCTGGAATATTAAATAGTATCCTAAAGTAATCTGTTAGCTTCACTTTATCCTACTCACAACATCCCTCTTTATTTACTTCTGCCTTACTTACTTCTCTTTTTTCATCCAAACCCCAGTCTTCTCTGCTCTGACTGCTGGGTGTTTATCTTATCCTATCTCCTCTGATGACACTGTAGTGGGAATTCTTTTAAATCTGTAGCCTGGAATATTAAATAGTATCCTAAAGTAATCTGTTAGCTTCACTTTATCCTACTCACAACATCCAAGGAGATCTTTCAGAAATTCCTCCAGAGGGACCGCTGAGAAGAGGACATTTATTATTAGGGTGCCCTGACTGCTGCCTTGCTCTCCCTGCATCCCCACCACACCATTCCATCTATCACAACAAACCACAGGGATCCTAGAATCTGCCCGTGTTCCACACATTCTTTTCTGGAATTCTCTTACCTACTTTCCTTTCTGACAAACATGTTGCTCTGATAAGCCCTCCAGGAAGAATGAGCTCCCATATTATGAACCTTGACATCTAACACTTAATTAGACTTACATGTCTTGCTGCCCATACCATGGGGCTAGAACAGAGAGCATATATGACTCTTGACAGCATTACCAGTGTCTAACATAAATGAATGTTTCTTGATGAGAAGAAGAAATGGGCTAAAAATATCTGTTCTCACACATTAATTTACTAGAAGCCCAGTGCACAAATTCGTGAATGGGTGGGGTTGGGGGGGGCAATCGGGGGTGGGGCCAGCCAGGAGGAGGGGCTGCAGGCAGTTGGCCAGCTGGCCCCACCCCCTGGTCAAACTCCTGGTTGAGGGGACAATTTGCATATTAGCCTTTTATTATATAGAAAGGATAGGATGAACACTGTCAAAATTGTAATAAAGATCCTAAGATGTTTTGGAGGGAAATGATAGAAAATATTTCTAAAGGTTGTATAGAAGATTAATAAGATTTGTGCAAGAAACTACAGAGGAGTCTTCTTGCCAGATAAAAAACAACACAACAAAAATTAAAAATGAGTCCCAGATGAAATAATCCTGAATAAATTATTCAAATCCTAAGAGAATTTACCATATAGGTATCACAAAGTCCAGGAAGAGGAATAAACTATTAAATGATATCAAAAGTATAGTTTAGCAGCTGAAAAAGAACTTAACATCCATATCATGCCATGAGTCAAAATAAATTCTAGATGGAGTAAATATTTTAAACATTAACAATGAAAATTTAAAAATTGAAAAGCCTCAAAAAATACACATTATTGTATAGAAACTTAAAGCTACATAAAGGACCAAGTTAAAAAAACAAGCAAACAACCCACATAGGATTAGAATAAAGTTCTTAAACAATAAAGAATTTAATTTAAAAAATAAATGAATTAATTACATATAAAAAAAAGTCTTAATCAGCATTAATGGACCAAAGTCATGACAACTCAAAAAATAAGTGTAACTAAAAGTTGTCAGGAGTATTTAACTTCACTAACATTTAAGTGTATTTTTACTGATTTCAGAGATGAGGGGAGAGGAGAGAGAGAGAGAAACATCAATGATGAGAGAGAATCATTGATCAACTGCCCCCTGCACACCCCACACGGAATGGAGCCCACAACCCAGCCATGTGCCCTGACCGGGAATTGAACTGGAAGCTCCTGGTTCATAGCTCAACCACTGAGCCACAATGGCTGGGCAAACTTCACTAATATTTAAAAGAAAGAAAAAAAAATCAATGAATTGCTATTGCTAATGTGTACACAAATTTTGAAAAAGTGGTCACGGGGTAAGCGTGGTAATGTTAAAAAACTCACCATTAGAGTGCTTATATGTGCCACACCCTGTTCTCAGTGCATTATACACACAAGGACTCTGAGGGAGATGCTATCATCTCACTTCACAGACCCAGAACACAATTTGGAAAAGGAAGCACCAAGGATTCCAAAAAGCGAGGCAACAGGTAATGGGACATTTTTGTAAATGTTCATCAAGTAAAGAGATCATTGAATGATCCTGTTTGGTTGTATTTTTATTTGGAACAACCCTATTTAGAAAAGAAATATAGCAAAGATTCACTAACCCCCTTATAGTTATATGACCTAAATGCTGTGTGTGTGTGTGTGTGTGTGTGTGTGTGTGTGTGGTGAGGAGGGCAAAATAATTATGAGGAAATGAAGGCATAGGATGTGCATTTCCGTGTTATTAGCGATACAAAGTTCTTACAGCTGCAATGGGGCGGCCATTGAAAGCCTCGTGAAGACCACCACGCTGCCAGGAAAATGCAATAAAAAAAGGGCAGGATGAGAATGAAAAAGACGAAGAGGGCACGAATTCTAAAATAAATTAACATTTAAGCTTATAACATTCCTAATTATATATATTACTAGTAAAAAAGTTCAAAAGGAGTACACCAGAATAATTCCTCCCCTCACCCCCAAAAAACTGGACTTCCATTTAATGAAACTCATAACCATGTGTCAGGAACTGTGCTAAATGCCTTTCCACTCCATTCTCAACCATCTATGACAGAAACTGCCATCCCCTTTACCCGGAGACTCAGGCTAAGACAACAAAGTGCCCAGGCTACAAGCTGATTCCACAGCTCGGCTCTCCAGGCAGACGCCCAAGCTGCAGGCGTCTCCCAGGAAACCGAACTCGTCCCGCCCCCTCGCTCTCTCCACTTCCGCTCCTGCGCACTGTGGCTCTAGTCAGCCGGCGGCGTGGAGGACATGGCTACTTCCCGCTTACCCCCAGCGACACTAACGCTAAAGCAGGTACCCACTATTTTCCCGGGCCTCTGGGACAGCTTCCCCAGGTCTCAGCTCAACTCTCCGTCTCCCCCTGCACCCAACCTACGGGGTGCGTCTGGGGAGCAACTGGGGCCGGTGACCCCGCGCGCCCTCTGATGGGCCTGGGCCGGAGGGGCGGGGCTTCCCCGTGAGGTGTGGCTGGGAGGGGCGGGGCCTGGGAGGGAGGGGCGGGGCGTGTAGGCAGAAACCAGTCTGGTTGGACAGAAAGGCAGGGCAGGCTCTTGATCTCCTGGAGCCCCGACGCTTCGGGAACTGCTCTGCCTGTTACATTGATCCGTGGAAAAGAGCAAATGAGGTTACCAGGGGATTTTCACAACTGCCTGAACTTAGAAGTGCTGTTGTGGTTATAGTTTCTTCGTCTGGGAGCCCTTTTCCTGCCCAATAGTCAGCTCTAGATTTTAAGGGCTCTTATGTTTGACAGAGCAAACAAACAGCCCAAGTAAACTTGTTTTCTTAAAAGAAAAATAAAAGAGGATTCTTCTTTGTCCTTTTCTAAACTAAAGACCAAAGAGAAGTGATGTGGTTGCAGTCTGGTTTGCTAACGTGGAGCCTCTGGGCTGCAATGGTGCGGTTGTAATGGCCCTCTCCCCTCCCTGCACAGTTCATGAGAAGGCAGCAAGTCCTCCTCCTCTACAGAAGGATTTTGCAAGCCATTCGGCAAGTCCCAAAGGATTCTGATCGCAGATACCTGAAGGACTGGGCGAGGGAAGAGTTCAAAAGAAACAAAAGTGCCACCGACGAGGTAAGAACAAGCTCATAGTGACGACAGCCCCTGACCCTTTTTTGTATTGTTCAGTGAATTTTTGAAAACGTTTGGTAGACATCTTGGAATATAAATGGCACTGCGATATCTTGATCATTGCTCTAATGTTAGTGATTTTCCACTTCCTTAACTATTTAAAATTTTACAATCTTTACTATCCGTATCTACATTCTACACTAGCATCACCTGACTTTTCTCTTTAACACTCCCTCCCCCCCCCCCCCAC